TTCTCTTCTTTCTCTTCTCTCCTTCTTCTCTTTCCTCTTTTCTCTCTTTCTTCACTCTCAAATCTCTTATTCTCTGTTCCTTCCTTTTCTTTCTCATCTTCTCTCTCTTTCTCTCTCTTCTCATCTCTCGTCTTTTTTCTTCTTCTTATCTTCTCTTTTTCCTCTCTTGCATCTATTCTTTCTCTCTCTTTCTTTCTTCCCTCCTCTCTCCATTTTCTTTTTCTCCTCTCATGTCTCCTGTATCTTCTCGTTTCTCTCTCTTTTCCTTAATCTTTCTTCTTTTTTCTTCTCTTTCTTTTTCTTTTCTCTTCTTTTTTTCTTTCTTCTCTTTCTTTTCTTCTCTCTCTTCATCTTTTCTCCTCTTTTTCTCTTTCTCTCTTCATCTCTTTGCTTTCTCTCTCTCATCATCCTTTCTCTTTCCTCTTTCTCTTTTCTTTCTCTCTCTCTTCTTCCTCTTCTGTTCTTCTTCCTCTCTCTCTTTATTCTTTGTTGTCTCTCTCTTTTCTTTTCTCTCTTCTCTCTCTCATCTTTTCTCCCCCCTTTTTTTTTTTCTTCTTCATCTCTCGTCTCCTTCTTTCATCTCCTCGTTTTCTCTCTCTCATCTCTCTCTCCTCTCTTCTCTCTTCTCTTCTTCTCCATTCTTCATTCTCTTCCTCATTCTTTTCTTCCATCTCTTCTCTTCTTCATCTCACAAAACTCTATTCTCCCTTCTCTTCTTCTTTCCTCTTCCTCCCTTCTCTTCATCTTCTTCTCCCTCTTTCTTCATCCATATCTCTTCTCTTTTCTTCTTCCTTCTTCATCATTCCTTCGTTCTTCTTCTCATCTTCTCTTCTTCATTTCTCTCTTTTCTTCTCTCTTTCTCTTCATCCTCTTCTCTTCTTTCTCTCATCTCTCTCTGTTTTCTCTCATTTCTCCCCTTTCTTCTCTCCTCCTCTCTTCTCCCCCTCTCTTCTCTCTTTTCCTTCCTTCTCCCTCTCTTCTTTTTTTCTTCCATTGATCTGTCCTTTTTTATTTTCCTCATTCTTCTCTTCTTTTCCTTCTTCTTTCTCTTCTTTCTTATCCTTTATTTCTTCTCTCCCTTTTCTTTTTCTCTTCCTCTTCTCTCTTCTCTTCCTCTCTCTTCTCTCTCTTCCTTTGTTCTCTTTCTCTTCTTCTCTTTCTCTCTTCTCTTCTTCTTCCCTCTCCTCTCTTCTCTCTCTTTCTCTCTTCTCTCTCCGGTCATCTTTCTTCTCTTCAACTTCTCTCTCATTCTCCTCTTTCTCCTCATTCCTTTTTCCGTTCTCCTCTCTTTTCTCTCTTTCTCTCTCATCTTCTTCTTTTTATTCTCATTTCCCTTTTTCTTCCTTTCTTTCTCTTCTCTTTCTGTCTCCTCTTCTTCTTCTCTTTTTCTTTCTTCCTCTGTTCTTTCATTCTTTTCCTTCTCTTTCTCTTCTTCTCCCTCCATCCCTTCTTATCCCTTCCATCTTCTCTTTATTTCTCTCTTCTTCAAAATCTCCTTCTCTCTCTTCCATACTCTCTTCTTTCCCTTGTTTTCTCTTTTTTCACTCCCAATTTCACCCGCTCTCCCCTCTTTTTTCTCCCGCTTCCCCGCATCTCTCTTCCTCTCTCATTTCTCTCTTTCTTCTTTCTTCTTCTCTTCTCTTCTTTCTTCTTCTTCTTTCTTTTTTCTCTCTCATCTTTCATCCATTTCTGTTTTCTCTTGCATTTTCTTTTCAATTCATCTTTCTCTCTTTTTCTCTTTTTCTCTCATCTTTCTTCTTTACTTCTCTCTTTCCTTTCTTTCCTTTCTCTCCTTTCTTCTCTCTCTTTCTTTCTCTTCCGCTTCTCTCATCTTCTTCTTCGTTCTCTCCTCTTTCCTCTGTTTCTTCTAATTTTTTCCTCTTTTTATCTTTTCGTCTTTTCTTTCTTCCTTTTTCTCTTCCCTTTCTTCTCTCTTTCTCTTCTTCTTCTCTCTTTCTTATTCATTTTCCTTGTCTTTATCTCTTTTCTCTTAGTCAAGATCATGGATATGGCAAACATTAAACTTCTTTTTTTTTTTTTTTTTTTTGAGACAGAGTCTGCTTGTTGCCCAGGCTAGAGTGAGTGACGTGGCGTCAGCCTAGCTCACAGCAACCTCAAACCCTAGGCTCAAGCGATCCTCCTGCCTCAGCCTCCAGAGCAGCTGGGACTACAGGTGTGCCAGCACACCCAGCTAATTTTTCAACATTTTTAGTTGCCCAGCTAATTTTTTTTTTTTTTAGTAGAGATGGGGGTCTTACTCTTGCTCAAGCTGGTCTCAAACTCCTGACCTCAAGCAATCCTCCCACCTCGGCCTCCCAGAGTCCTAGGATGACAGGCGTGAGCCACTGCACCTGGTCTGAAATTACTTCTTTCTTTGATCAAAATACCCATTCCCCAAGTAAATTCAACTTTAATCTTAAGAAATGTATGCTATTTAAAGCATACTTTTATTTTATGTTTTTTTTTTTTTTGAGACAGAGTCTCGCTTTGTTGCCCAGGCGAGAGTGAGTGCCATGGCGTCGGCCTACTTCATAGCAACCTCAAACTCCTGGGCTCAAGCAATCCTCCTGCCTCAGCCTCCCAGTAGCTGGACTACAGGCATGTCCCACCATGCCCGGCTAATTTTTTATATATTAGTTGGCCAATTAATTTCTTTTCTATTTATAGTAGAGACGGGGTCTCGCTCTTGCTCAGGCTGGTTTTGAACTCCTGACCTTGAGCATCCGCCGCCTCGGCCTCCCAGAGTGCTAGGATTACAGGCGTGAGCCACCGCGCCCGGCCAATTTTATGTTTTAAAATAGCTAAAACAACCAATAGCCCAAACAAAGCCATTGTTGGAATAAGAAAAAGGAACTTCGTCCCATGACTCTTTGCTTCCATCTGTCAGAAAATTGTCTTAATATGCCAATTTTGTTAAGACAACATACTTTTCTGCCATCTGTCAGAAAAGCATCATAATAAACATACAAATATGTGATGTTTGCAATGTAAACCCTGCCCACCAAAGGCTCTTTCCTCATCTTTGAATTTGTTATAATGCACTACCTTGCATGAAGCTAGGGACTAAATGAGATGCATATGCAAATCTGATATAAGGTAGGCACAACCTAAAGGTTAGTTGAATCTAACTGTTAAAGAATGTCAAATTTCAAACTAATTGGAGAAGGTATTCAGAGTTACATTGCTCAATCTGTGACCCTTTGAGATCAGCCTCAGAAGTGAGAGAGAAAAGGGGAAGGTCTGAGCTACTAAAGGAAATGTTTGCCTTTTCTCAACATTTCCCTTCTCTGCTTCTGCCCTTCCTCCTCTTCTCCTTTTCTATTGAAAGGAGGAATTAGTCCACAGTGGAGAACCTTTGGCCTTAGAGCTACATGTGGCCTTCTTAGGTCCTTAATGGTGGTATTTTGACTGAATCCAAATTTTATATAACAAATCCTTTTATATTTAGTAATACATTTTTGTTCTTCTTTTGTATTTTTATTTTATTTTTAAAATGAACATATTTCAAATACCAAAGAATAAAATAAGTTTCAATGAAATAATCCTCCCAGATTGGCTGGCACAATTAGAACACTAGTAAAACATAAGGCTAAATTGACAGCTGCTACACTCATGATTTAGTTCTAACTTCCCCTGCCTGACTGGAGCCACTACTGCAGGAGGCTGTTAGGTGAGAGTTTATGGGGCTCGAGTATACCAGTCTGTTAACAGCTTTTGACAAAGATGCACTATGTTTCTGTGTGAAGTGTTTCTTTGTGACTAGTTGCATAGCTTGACAGTATTGTTTAATTTTGTCTGCTTAACAGCCCATCAGGTCAAAGAAGACCAAGAGAACACTGAAGGAAGAAAACAGATTTTTTAAATGAGGATTGGGAATTACAATATTATCTTGTTTCTGCTAAAGAAAATATGATTTGCTTGCTTTGTGATACTGCAATGTCAACATTAAAGAAATTCAATGCTCATCAGCCATGTAACACTCACAAGGACCACGAATATTTTAAATTAGAGGGAGAGGTGTGAAAAGTTGTATTACAGAAATTAAAAGATGAAAAGCAAAAGCAAAGACAATTCTTTCAAGCAGCAATAAGACCTGGAAATAATGCCACAGAAACAACTTACAAAGTAGTTTATGGACTCGGGGGAAAAGAAAGGGAAATCATTCAGTGATATAGAAATTGTGCAAGAATGAATTTTCGAAGTCGTAGGATGCTTAGACCCTGATAATGTTTCAAAGTACTAACAACTACCTCTTTCAAAAAGAACCATAACTGATCGGCAGGATAAATTAGCTTTCCACTTAACAAAACACCTTCATGCAATACTTCAAAAGGAAAATATATAGTATTTAATTGCTTGGGATGAATCAACTGATACTTTTGACTTAGTGCAGGTTTTATACTTTTTGGGTCATAACAGAAGATTTTCTCTGCTACAAAGAGTTACTCACTTTGAGCACTCCTGTGCACAGAACAAGGGGAATAGATATCTTTAACAAATTTCAAGATAAATGTCATGAAGTTGGACTGAATTTGGTAAATCGAGTGGATGTATGTACAGATGGTGCGCCTCCCATGACAGGAAAACATGAAGGGCTTATTGCACATATAAAAGAAAGTATTAACATATCCAGTTGCTCTCATTTCTTTTCATTGTATCTTGCATCAGCAAAATGTCTGTGCTAAAGCTGCTATTTTAAGTGACACTTTGCAACAAGTTATAAGTGTTGTTAACTACATTTCTGCAAATGCAACACAACATCCTCAGTGTCATAACACATTAAAGTTGAACAATGAGGTATTCAGTGTGGATTTGCCCTATCATTCTAAAGTCTGTTGGCTAACACAGGGATAGGCATTACCCAAAATTTTATCTCTGTGAGAACAGATAGTTAAATTTTATGAAGAACAGAATTAGCAATGTGAAATAGTGAAAGAAGAATTCTGTAGGAATGCAGCATTTCTGTGTGATATCGTGTCAAATTAAAATGACTTAAATATGTCTTTCCAAGGTAAAACTAAGTCTATATATGATATGTGGTCAAAAATCCAAGCATTTCAAAAAAAGCAATCTTTTTTCAAATCGCTTCCTCTTCAAAAGGAAATTCCAAATGAACATTTTCTCCAGGTAGCAAAGATCACTTATGAGCAGGACAATATATGCGAATCATTCGAAGACTATGCAGCTGTTATAGACCTATTAATCAGAGAATACAATGAAAGGTTCATTGACTTGGATAATCATGACACCACACTCAAATTAGCATTTCATCCTCACGTAGTTGATATCACCAAGTCACCTAAGGAACTACAGATAGAAAAGCTGTCAGTAGATGACATTTTAAGGTCATTGTCTGATGCTAATAAAGATCCAATTGACATATGGAAAAATGCAGTAGATAAATGTCATCAAGTTGGACTGTTCCACCTTAGGAGACATGCCTGAAAAATGCTGTCTTGCTTTCAACCACTTATTGCTGTGAATCTACATATTCTCCTACCTAACCTAAATTAAGATGCCCTTAAGGTCACAAATGACTGATACCCATCTAGAGGATCAACTGAAACTGTGGACCTCCATGCTGCAACCAAATATTCAAATGCTTTCCAACAAAAGCAGACATGGTAAGGTCATTAAAAGGCTAGTTAATTTTAAAATTTAAAAAAGCAGTTTTCAGCGGGGCATGGTGGCTCACACCTGTAATCCTAGCACTATGGGTGGCCAAGGTGGGCGGATTGTTCGAAGTCAGGAGTTCGAAACCAGCCTGACCAAGAGCAAGACCCCATCTCTACTATAGAACCCGTCTCTACTATAAATAGAAAGAAATTAACTGGCCAACTAATATATATAGAAAAAAGTTAACCAGGCATGGTGGTGCATGCCTGTAGTCCCAGCTACTTGGGAGGCTGAGGCAGCAGGATTGCTTGAGCCCAGGAGTTTGAGGTTGCTGTGAGGTAGGCTGATGCCACGGCACTCACTCTAGCCTGGGCAACAAAGCGAGACTCTGTCTCAAAAAAAAAGCAGTTTTCATTTTTTAAAATTATTCAGTGCATAGTAGTTAGATTTTTACAAAATAATGTACATTTTTAAGTATATCTAACTGAAGTTTTTTGAATGTGGTCTTATTTGATTACAGCTAAATTAATGCAGCCTTTCAACATGAAAAAGTTCCCACCCCTGAATCAGTCACTCTCAGGGTTAGTTCTCTCTTCTCACCTTTACTACATTCAATTTTATATCTGGATCATCAGTTTTAGTTTTTCATTCAGCTGTGAAAGGGGACAGTTTTCCCTGAGAAAAGAGAATGGACTTGCCTTCAATTCAGAATCCCAAAATTTGTCCTGGAGATACACCATAGTCATAAAATGTGAAGTCCTGACTGTCTGGTTCCTCTCAGTTGGGAATCAAATATCAACTGAAAATTCTGCTCAGACTAAGTTCACA